CTGCCAGCATTCTTGTACTCACGGTGGGGTGCGATATGATTGGAAATAAAAGCTAACAAGGAAGAGGGCCTTGCGTGGCTCCCTGGTGAGTGCACAGCCTGATTCACGAGCCAGGGTCTGTGCCCGTGAGGGCTGGTGAGCCAGAGGCAGAGGCGAGTGGGGCAGGACAGGCGCCTGTCTCAGGATATCCAGGAGGTCAAGTAAACCAATGCCAGTGAAGCATTGGGACAGCCGAGGGACAGCAGGACAGCGAGGCACAGCAGAGGGACAGCTAGGCCACTCAGCAGGGTCAGCTAGGAGTGTTTTTCTTTCAGACAGTTCTTATTGTGATGAGGTGGACACATCTATCCCTTTTTTTCCCCAAAAAATTCAGCCAGAATCTACCTTCCTGCATCTCTTACCAGTGTGTCCTGTGCCATTTCAGACACTGCATACTTTCCGGTGTCTGCCATCAGGCCCTCGAAATTGCTTTGGTCCCTGCCAGGACCAGTGTCTCTGGTGTCCAGTACTTGGTACGGCCGACTGGCCCTCCACCCTGAAGCCCTCACTGCTCTTGATTGTCAACTTCGTGCTCGTGGTTTTGTCCCAGACTCCTTTCCACATCCCTTCCCTTGGCTCCTGAATGGGAACATGCCCCAGATTCAATCCTCGGGCCTTCTCCCCATGGGGAGTCTGTGTGCCCCTTGGCTGTCAGTGCTCACCATGTGCCTGCGGAGCCCAGAGTCTGTGGTCTGTCTCCCTCCCCATCCTAGAAGGGAAGCTACAGAAATTTTATTTTGCTCACATGCCAGAAAAATGCCTTGCTGAATTCTGCGATAATTATATTCACATATAATTCATGATGGTATTGCCCAGGGGAGGTGAGCCACAGGTGGCTGGATGTTCAAGGCAGGAGCTAAGGAGACAGACCCCACGTGAAACTGTAGGGACAGGTAATATCTGACAGGTGTTATAAAGGAAAGAAAAGGAAGAGTGGGGGCGAGCAGGTGTGTTCTGGGGAGCTGACGTTTGAGCGAAGATCTGGATGCAGGGCTTCCAGTGTGGGGATAGCACAACCGAGCCTTGCAGTCTTGCGCTGGTCCACTTGCAGGTGCGCACTTTTGCTTCCTGGAGGGTGCCCCGGGAGTGGGATGGCTGGACTGTGTGGCGGCTGTGGTGCCAACACTTTAAGAAACTGCCCAACCGTTTTCCAAAGTGGCTGAGTTGTTTCCCCTTCCTGCGGACAGCATGGGAGCGCTCCAGCTCCTGCACATCCTTACCAGCCCCTGGCGTACTTAGTTCTCTCACATTCCAGCCATGCTGGTGGTTGTGGTGGGAACTTGCCTTTTCCTAATGACTGATGATGCTGAGCATCTTCTCATGTGTTTACAGTCAGTATGTCGTCTTTGAGGAGGTGTCTGTTTATATCTTTTGCCTTTTTTTTTTTTTTTTTTTTTTGCAGCTGGCCTGTATGGGTATTTGAACCCATGACCTTGGTGTTATAAGGCTGTGCTCTAACCAACCGAGCTGACCGGCCAGTTGGCTCTTTTGCCCATTTTTAAGTTGGGTTGTTTTCTTATTGAATTTTGAGAGTTCTTTATATATTCTGGATTTAATGTTGTATCTGTGTTTAGCAAGTATTTTTTGTCAGTCTGTGGCTTGTATTTTCATTTTCATAACAGTGTCTTATGAATAGTAAAAGATTTTAGAGGCCATTAGGACTTTTTCCAATGCTTTTTCTAAAAGTTACAAAGTTTCGGTCCTTAAATTTAGCTCTGTAATGCATGTTGAGCTAATCTCTGTATATGGTGTGAGTTTTGAGACTCATTTTTTCAGACATGGCTATCCAGTTTTTCCAGAACTATTTGGTGAAAAGATTGTCCTCTCCTTGTTGAATCATCTCAGCACCTCCATCAAAAATCCATTGACTGTGTATGTGGGGTGGGTCTATGCCTGGGCTGTTTGTTTCCTTGAGCTCTATGCCTGTCTTGATGCCAACCCCAGACTGTCTGGTTTCTGCAGCTTTACAACAGGTCATGAAATCGCACAGTGTTTGCTCTTCAGGTTTGTTCTTTTTCAGAGTTCTTTAGCTGTTCTAGATCCTTTACATTACCATATTAATTTTAGTATCAGCTTGTCATTTCCTGTGGAAAAATCTGCTCGTGTTTTGTTTTTTGAGTTTGGGTAGAATCTGTAGATCAATTTTTAGAGCAATTTGGGGAGAACTGAGATCTTAATATTTTCTCCAATCCATGAACATGTTATGTCTGTCCATTTATTTAGGTTTTCTTTCATTTCTGTCAGCAGTGTTTTGTAGTTTTTATTGTATATGTCTTTTTGGGGGGGTGGGGGGCTGTCTAGTACAGGGATCTGAACCCATGACGTTGGTGTTATAACACCGCTCTCTAACCAGCTAAGCTATTGGCCGGCCCCTTATTATACACATCTTGTGCTTTTTGGTCAAATATATCCCTACACGTTTTATATTTTAATGCTATTGTAAACAGTATTTTAAAATCTCAATTTGCTATTGTTCATTGCTAATGTATAGAAATACAGTTAGTTTTGTTTTTTTTTTTTTTAAAGACGACCGGTAAGGGGATCTTAACCCTTGACTTGGTGTTGTCAGCACCACGCTCAGCCAGTGAGCGAACCGGCCATCCCTATGTGGGATCTGAACCCGGGGCCTTGGTGTTATCAGCACCGCACTCTCCCGAGTGAGCCACGGGCCGGCCCTACAGTTAGTTTTTGTATATTGAATTTGCCTCCTGCAGCCTTGCTAATAAACTCACTCACTAGATACAGTTACTTTTCGTAGATTCCTTATGATTTCCCACATAGAAGGTCATGTCACCTGCAGGTGAAGCTTCCTTCTTCTGTCCTTTCGCTTTTGTCTCTGTTTCTTGCCTGGCTGCACTGGCTGTGGCCTCCAGTACGGTATTGAATAGGAGTGGTTGTATCAGACATGTTTTTGTGGGCTCTGGTTCTCACTGATTTCTTTATATATTTGGGTAAAGCATCAGTGTCTCTCAAGCTAGGAGGATATTGATCCACTAGGGCAGTGTTGTCAACCCTAGCTAAACATTAGAATCACCTGTTAAAAATACCAGCACCTGGGCCATACCCTCAAATTCTGATTCATTTGGTCTAGATGGGCATAGGAATTCATGTTTTTTGAAGCTCCTCGGGTAGTTGTAAAGTGCAGCCAGGGTGGGAACCACAGCTGATGGAGAACAGGGAGGCCCTCACCTTTGACCCTAACCTAGGGTCTATGGTCTCGTCCGTCATCCCCAAACATCCCTTCTGCCCTCCTCGCCTCCATCCCATGCATCTTAGCTGTCTGGCTGCTATAACTGCCACAGACTGGGAGCCTTGGGCAGCAGAAACTTATGTTCTCACAGTTGTGGAGGCTGGAAGTCCAAGATCAAGGTTCAGCTAATTGGGTTCCTGGTGCAGGCTCTTGACTCACATGCCCTCACGTCACCTCGTTTCTGTGCTCATGGGAGTGGGAGGAGGTAGGGGAGAGGGCTCTGGGGCCTCCTCCTGTAAGAACATTACTTCCTTAGAGGTCTCATCTCCAAATACAGCTACACGGGGCGTTAGGGCTTCTGTGTATGAATTTGGGGGACATATTCAGTTCATAATGCCCCATTTACCCTTCCTGATGCCAGCATCCACCTCGTCCTCAGTTTGTTAAGGTTTTTTTCTTTGAGGAAGAATGTTTGGCTTTATTGTGTGTATCGTAGCCTCTGTCGAGGTGGTCTCACTGTGTCCTTTGCTTACGGATGGAGTGGGCTGTGTTCAGCCTGCCTGGTCATAGGCATCACCCATGCTGCACTCAGGAGGGTCTGCCTCAGTGTTCCCGAGCAAGAACCCCATGTGCTTTGCTGTGCTCTGCCCTGTCACCCCCTTGGCAGGTGCTGGCTTCCCAAAGAGGACAGCAGGCCTGGCTCGTCTGCAGCAGCAAGTCCTCTGTCCTCATCCCTCTCGAGTCACCATGGTGATTTTCAAAGGAACCCTGATCCGAGTTTTCTAGTTTGTGACTGTGTTTGTTTCAATCCCCCAGTCTAAACCATGGTCTACTTACTATAGTTTTCCTCCACACCCGGTTCTTCCTTTTTTGTCTTTAGATGTAAAGTTTCTGCCTCTTCTGCTTTTCTTAGGATTGTTTTATTGTGTTCTAGCTTTACTGAATTAAATGCTTGGTCCATTAGTTTTCATGCTCAGGAATTTCAATGCAGCTTTAGTGGGTTGAATCGACTCTGGCTTGGTGTTCACGTGATTCCTGTAATCTGTGTATTCTGTATGTTGGTTCTGACACTCACTTTGATCCCTCAGTTGGTTAGGAGAAAGTTCAAAAACTCCCAAACGGTAGGAGGGTTTTTGTTTCTCGTTTTATCTTTTCCCGGTTTTGTTGTATTGTAGTCAGAGCATGACCATTCACTCCTTTTTGGAATTTGAAGTTTTATTTGAGGCTCACGGTAGCTCAGTTTACTACATACAGGTAAATGTTTCATTGGTGCTGGATGAAAAAGTAGACTGCTTGCAGGGTGTGGAGTTCAGTATGTAGCCACCAGTTCAGTCTTATCAGTTACATATATTCAGCTTTTCTGGACTGTGCATTGTTTGAAATTGCACATCTGTGTTGCTTCCCTCTTGTTTCAGTGTGTTGTCTGTGTGCGACTTTCTGTTTCGACCTTTCCTATTTGGCGATGAGGGCTCCTTTGCCGTGCACAACATCCTCCCCCCCAGGGTGACCGCTTTGCCTGGTTGTGATGGGAATGCTCTGGCTTGGTAGTTTTGCTTGTCCTTTGACTTTTAGCTCTTCTAGATTCATTTAAACACCACAAAGAGATTCCTGAGTTCTTTAGTATCTCTGGGATGGAAGCAGCCTATTTTCAAAGTTCTTTGATAAAGTGGGCTCTGGCAACCTCTTCCCTAAATGCAACGGTTGTATAAGTGTGCGTATACACTGTTGTTGCCTTTGCATGTGTATCTGTTTTACTTATTTATTCTGTTAGGTTAAGGCATCGGTGTTTGTCTGACCAAAGTTCTCACTGGGCAACTGTGGAGATGGAGCCAGAGAAGATGAGACCGATCAAGGAACCGAGTGCTGACCCGGCCTCGGTCTGCTGCGCCACGTGCCACGGGGACGAGACCTGGACCTATGGCCACCCCATCCGGGGCCGGGCCAAGTCCCGCAGCCTGTCTGCCTCCCCCGCTCTGGGCAGCACCAAGGAGTTCAGGTACGACCAGGAAGGCCCTCTTCTCCCTCCCCTCCCTCTCTGAGTAAGATGTGCAGATGTGCAGGAGTGCAGCATGTCCAGGGTGGGGACGTGCGTGTCCACAGGGCCATGCACAGAGCCGCTCACTGGAGCCACCCTGACTTGTGGCGTTAGGTGAGAGGGACCCTGAGGAGCAGGCGCATGTACTCTGCAAAAGGTGTCTGCGATGTGAGGGGACCTCCCTCTGGACTTCTGCCGGCTCTGAGAGTCTGGCAGCGGTGGGCCCTGTGACACTCTTGCCGGGCGTCAGCCCCTCCCCTTGCCCGTCCCCTGGGGTGTCCGCGGTGTGCTCTTGCACAACGCCGCTTGAGCAACAGCCTCGGTTCTGTGCACAGGCCGCCTGCCAGCACAGAGCTGGGATGGCACCTGGGGACGCTGCTCTCCTTCTGGTGGTGGTGAGTTTCAGGGGGGAGTGTGCCAGAGGCCTGTGTTGCCTCCAAAGCAAGGGCCACAGGAGATTTTTGGTGAGAAGTCATTTTTACAGATGGAAGAACTACAGAGCCTCTCGCGTGGTGGGCCGCAGGTGCAGCTACAAAGTCTCCTATTCAGGGAGTTGTTGCATGAGCCGCATGTGTGCACAGGACTGCATGCACAGCCCTGTCAGGGCAGCTTCTCTTAAGCTTGTGGTCCCGTACTCCCAGGCCACTACAGCGCAGCACTGCGTGCTCTTGACAGTTCTGTTTCAGAGGACGTTGAACCTGATGTGGTGGCAGTGGGTCAAAGGCAGCCTCTGTTGTGACAGACGCCATCAGGGCTGGGGAGAAGGGTGTGGTGTGCTCAATGCTCAAACACAGCCTGTCTTCTGAGGAACAGAGATGAAATGTACGTGGCCACTTAGAAAACGTGTTGTTTTCTGCAGGCACTAAACTACATTTCCAATCATCTTTTAAGTCCCTAAATAAAGCTCTTATTTTGTAACATATTTAACAATTTTTAAAAGACCTAAGTGAATAAATCTAGTACATACTTAAGTCCAAAAAGGCCCCAGGGTGTGGTGACGGCCACCCAAATGACCACTGTTCTTGTCAGCATGGCACAGTCTTGGCCAGACCCCAGGACTCTTGTGTGGGTTACCCGTCCCTTGTGAGACGTGGAAAACCTTTTATCTGCACCGGGGTGTGAAGATGCCGTTGAGCCACGACACTGGCTGGTGGAGAAGGAAGCGCATGTGCTGCTCAGGTGGGCTGCTTTGCAACAGCACCCAGTATGCAGCGGGAGGCCTCTGGGAGGCCCTCAAGGCTGGCGTGGCCTGGTTGGCGCTCTGGCCACAGTAGAAGCGTCCCAATCACACATAGGAAGGGCAGTCGCAGGGCCACTGCGGCCTGTTGCTGTAAGGGCCCCTGGGCCCCTGAAAAGGGTGGGGGCCCTGAATGGCATCACTCCCAGCACGCTCAGGTGATGGGATCACGGCTGGTCGTTTTCCAATTATTAGAAAACTTGGGCTGTTCAACTAGTGTCTTTCTTATTGTCGTGTATAATTCTGAGTGAATGTTTTTTTCTTAGAATTATATTTATTTATTTTTATTTATTTATTTTTTATTCTTTTTTGTCTTTTTTTACTGACCGGTAACGGGATCGCAACCCTCGGTCTCGCGCCCGTACCGGGGACCGGCAACGGGATCGCAACCCTCGGTGCTGCGCCCACACTGCGCTCAGCCAGTGAGCGGGAACCGGTCTCCACATGGGATCCGAACCCTCGGCGGGAGCGCCGCCGCGCTCCCAAGCAGCGCACTCTCCAGTGCACCACCGGGCCGGCCCAAAAGAGACTCAGGCCTGGCATCCAACTATTTTTGTGTGTGTGTGTGTGGCTGGCCAGTACAGGGATCTGAACCTGTGACCTTGGTGTTACAAGGCTGTGCTCTAACCAACTGAGCTCACCGGCCAGCCTTAGAATTTTAATCTAAATGATTTATTTTGTTTGTTTTTTGGTGGCTGGTCAGTGCAGGGGTCCAGACCCTGGACCCTGGTGTGATGAGCTCCACGCTCTAACCACTGAGCAACTGGCCAGCCCCGATCTAGATTATTCGGAGATGGTTTCTAAGATCTTGATTCCCAAATGCAGACCCAAAGACTAGCCCTGAGAGACGCTGTCTGAATTCAGATTCCCAGGCCTGTCCCGCGGTCACATGTCCCTTGCTCTAGGCTCATTCCTGCGCCTCTCGCTGGTTGGGCTCATTGTTCTAAGGAGCATGTTCAGATCGCCTCACTGTGTCCCTAGCTGCTGTCGCATGCGGTGCTCCAGTGCAGCGCCATGGACCAAGGTGGGGTCTTCTGGGACTGTTGTGTGGGTGCTGGGCGAATGATGGCGTTACTATCACTTGAATTACACCTGCACCTTACAGTCTGATGTGATCTGTATCTGTCTGTCACACGTGTACATGTTAAAGCTCTGCCAGCCACTCTCACAGCACCTGTGTGCCCTCTCCCCACAGGAGAACGCGCTCTCTACACGGGCCGTGCCCGGTAACCACTTTTGGACCAAAGGCCTGTGTGCTGCAGAACCCCCAGACCATCATGTAAGTCCGCTGGGGCCACGGAGACACCAGGTGGGGGGCCTCCCTTGGGAGCGTGCGTGTTGTTGTGGGAGTGCCGTATTATGGAAGACTCTGACAGCGAGAAGTGCGTGTTGAAGTCATTTTGACAAAGAGCCACATGGGCGTCTTCACCAAATCCCCTGGAGTGCAGGGCATCGAACGGAGGCTCACAGATGAGGCTTCTCCACTGGCCTTGAGAAAGTGGACAGCGGACGGCCAGGGTCATGACCAGGTGGACAGGTCCCAGCCCTGGGGTCTATGTTTTGGGCAGGGTTGAGTGGCCGTCAACATAAGAAATTTAGAGCTACTTTTTCGTTTCTAACAGTTAAGAACTCGGGGGGGGAAACTGACTATGTCCCATTCTAATAAGTTATTCCAAAACTATAGACACATTAATTGGCTTGTTTTCTCAATTTGATTTTACTTGTTTAAGAGATACTCTGCCTTGCAGGCGCTGTGGCTTGGTGGGTAAGTGTGTCCTGTGCACCCCGCTGAGCCGTGCGCTCACATGGGTAGCCTTGATGCCCTGGAAGAGGAACTACTTACAAGCTTAGCAGTTAGTGTTGTTTCGTGTACTCTTAATCTTTAATGACTCTCCATCAGTCCAGCTTCTTCTGTTTGTATTAAATGGTTCTAAAAGGGTGAATGCTTTGTTAATATGTTCAGTATGGTGGTCTAATTGTGGTTTATGTCTTTATGGGAAAGAAACAGTAAAACGATCCATCTGGTATCAGTGCTTCACGTTTAGGAAGTGAAAGTTCCAGCTCAGCTCTGAGAGTTGGGCTCTGCACCGTGTATGGGTCCTCACTGCCCTTCTGCAGAGGGGCTTCGTTGTTGTGCCTCTGAAATTGGCCTTTATGCAGAACACGCCCCCCAGGGCCTCCTTCAGGAAGTCCTGGGTATTTCACATTCTGCTAGGCAGGTTTGGGTGTGGTTCTGTGAGGGATAGTACTGTGATTGTCAGGTAAAAAGAATAACTTGAGGGCGTAAAATGGAAAAGATCAGATCATGTGTTGCTTTTCCTTGAACAGGCAGGCACCATGTATAGTAGGGGCTGGGGGTGTACGGTGGGGACTGAGTCATAGCAGCTCTGAGTCCCTTACAGCAGCACGGTTCCCACACCACACATGCCATGCCTCTGGGCCCCCCACTGAGCTGTTTGCTGGAGGTCAGGTGAGGGGACAGCAGAGGCACCCATTCTGGCACCTGCAGGTCATCCCAGAAAATGCTTTGCAGACTGTGACATGCTGTGCCGGTGTGAATCCAGCAATGTGGTCTGCTCTGCATCCTGCAGCTGCTGAGGGTGGCCCCTGAGGACTGAAGTTAGTGCTTTTTAGGCAAAAACCTGTCAGTGCCTGTCGTCGGTTCCAGGAGCTGTCTGTGACCTGTCTAGTTACTGCTGCCAAATGTGGGGGGGGGTCTCGACCCGTTGTTTGCCTCCCCCACATGGTCCAGCCACAGATGCTGTCATCGTGACTCCAGAACACACCCCAGTGGTCACAGCTGCCCTGTTGCCAGGCCGCCGTCTGCCACACGGACTCATAACCACCTGCTGCAGGCCCACAGTCCATTCGTCCCTTCCCTGCACAGGCCACCCAAGGCTCCCCACAACCTCACCCAGTCCAGCCTGGCAGCCAGTGCTCACCCAGTGTCCCCCGGGACCTCCCACCCCCTTCCTGTGTGTGCCCGCACTCCAGACTGGTGTCCTCGGCCTTTCACCAGCAGCCTGCAGGCCCCTTCTGCATTTCCTGGTCTCAGCAGAGCTGCCCCGTGCTGCTCACATCTCGGCCTGAGTGCCACCTTGAAATGACCTCTCCTACTGCCCAGCCTTAATTAGCCATCGGTTCCTCCGGGCCAGCCCAGGATGGCTGTCTGAGGTGTGTGTGTGTTCTGCTCATGACCCTCGCCCTGGAGACGCTCCTCAGGCTGGGACACAGGGTGGTGGTGACTGTTCCCACATTCAGTCAGCCCTGAGCAGGAGGGTATAGGGCTGCAGGGCAAGGGGCAAGTGGCCTCCTCTTCCCGGCTCCAAGCTCTGCGTCTCTGAGACCATAACCTTTGGGGGCAGGACTCTTACCCACTCACCCCTTCTTATCTACACCCCTTCCCAGTGCCTTACTTATGTGGTTGGGGACGTGGATTCAACCTAACACTTTCCCTAACATTCAAAAATAATATATTGTAGACGGTTGATTATGAGGAACTTCTGCTTCCTGCTCAATTGTCCAAGATGTCACTGTGAACACGTTCTCTGTTACTTGGGATGTGTGGGATTGCCAACGTCTGCGAGTTCATATGGGTCTCACTTGGAGCTGTCGCTGTTGGGTACCCACAACCCCATGGGCCTGGAAGGGTCAGCATCCCATTTTGCAGGTGACACAACAGCAGGTTGAGGGACCGGTTTGTGGTCACAGGGAGGGATTGGAGCCCAGGCGGTGCAGGACAGCACTGCAAATGGCCCTGGCTGGGTATAGCGGACCCTCAGGGCTGGAAGGTTCACAGGCCAGGCCCGCCTTGGGCTGTGTTGACATGTAGGAAGGACAGCCAGGGCGGGCCGTGTGCAGGGTAGGGGCTTCACTGTCTGACTCGGCCAGAGGGCTCGCCTGTGCTCCCTTGAGGCCTGTAGCCAAGTAGAGTGACACAGTCTCAGAGTGAACGCCCTTCCACCTGGCCGTGGCCTGAGAACAACACCTCCCACGGGCGAGCCGGTTCCACAGGCCTGAGCAGCGGCTGGAAGGGGCTGGCCTGCGGGGGCCTGGCCCTGGTCCTGCCTGTGGGCAGCGGGGGCAGAGGCTTGTCCCAGGAGCTCAGGTGAGAGCAGGGAATTGAATGTGACCTCTTTGCTGTTAAAAGTGACCCTGAGAATTTTTTTTGTAAGTAAGTGATTAGGCAAGAAGGCTGTGGGGTTTTTTGTTTGATTTCTATAGCTTTAGGAAGCTCTTTTGACTTAGTTGTTTTCATAAAACTTTTAACAAGTCACTTTACAATTATGTTTTGCTTTCAGTTTTGAGGATTCAGAAATTAGGCTTAGAGTGTGAATGCACGGGCAGGAGAAAGTTGGTGAGGCAGGGCTGCGCTACAGCCCCATCGTTTGCACAGTGTGGCCGCAGTGCAGCGGACACCCCAGCCGTCCTCCAGCAGGCGGGGGCCTCCTGGTGATTGGGGCAGCGATGATGCTCACAGAGGGTGTCAAGAGTGACCCCTCACCTCCCAAAAGCGCCTGGAAAGGGTGAGTGCTGGGCAGGTGTGGACGGCAGGATGAGTCCCCGTGCTCCTCCGCTCTGTTACCAGCGGTTTGTGTCACAGTTTCGAACGTGGCTAGTGGGACTGTCGAGTTCCCAGGGAAGTCTTCCCAGCAGGGCATGATTTGCAGGTTCTGGGTTGGGGGGCTGGCTCTGGGAAGCGGGGTCTTGCTGCTTGCTTCTGGCTCTGCTATTTCCAGCACTTGTCCAGTGGGGCTGAGGGCAGGCAGCACGGAGCTGAGGTGAGCCCTGACTGTGGTGACGGGCTCCACAGCCTAGGCAGATGAGCTTGCTCGCCTCGGTGTTTCGGGTGGTGATGGGCTGGACTGGGATATTTCCTGTGACTTGCGCAGTACTGGGAATCACAGCTGGGTGGGCCTTGCCACTGGAGAGATGCCCTCAGCCCAGCACCTGCTGCACAGTGTGGTGACCAAGGCAGAGGGCTGCAGAAGCTGGCAAGGCCGTCGTCCTCAGCAAGGCCACTAAGCCAGTGCTTTCTTCTGTGAAAATTAAGGGTGAACCAAGTTCACCAGTGACATAGGTGCGTGCAAAGCAGGAAGCATATGTCCTGAGGGGCCCTGGGTCTGTGTGAGACCAGAAACTATGGGTAGTGGGTCTTGGGAGCCAGGCTGGTTGGTTGGACGTTTATGAGAAGCCTGGCATTCAGTGGGCGTGGAGTGAGCACCAGGCAAAGCGCAGCCCAGGCTTGGACTCCCCTAGTCGGTTCTGTAAGCCATCTCTGTTCCAAAGGAGCTGGCGGTGGGTGTCATTAAGGAGCAGAGCAACGAGCATATATGAGGTCGGGCCCTGCACGTGAGCGGTGAGTGCCTGGCCACGTGGCCTGAGCCTGCTTGTGAAGGTCTGAGCAGGGCAGGGCCTTCCAGGCGGGGACTGCTGAGAGGACCATCACTCAGGATCCCACTGAACCCTGGCCCTGCTCTTGTGGAGAGGGCCAGGCGGCGGGCGGCAGGGGCTGCTGGTACTGCCCCCACCCTCGTGGTGATTGCAGTTGAGTGCCTTTGTCCAGGAGTTGAAAACACATTTTTAAGGACTCCTTTTCTTTCCCAAGTCATAGGCCTTTCTCCTCGAGGGAAGGGTCACTGCTGGCGTGAACTCTTCTGTCCGCCCCACAGGCACATTCAGGACCCTGCGCGGCAGCGGCTGACGTGGAACAAGTCTCCGAAGAGCGTTCTTGTCATTAAGAAGATCCGCGACGCCAGCCTGCTGCAGCCCTTTAAGGAGCTCTGCACGTACCTCATGGAGGCAAGCTGGGTGCCCCGACGCGGGGAGGGCGCTAGCAGACTGCTGTCTGCCTCTGCTCTGAGAGATGCAGGAGCACACCGCCTGCATGCAGCCAGGTGTCTTAGGCTGTCTGTGCTGCAGTGACAGAGTGCCACAGTCCGGTGACTTATAGTAAACAAGCACATTGGCTTACAGTTCTGGAGCCTGGAAATCCAAGGTCAAGGGGCTGCATCTGGTGAGGGCTTCTTGCCGCATCATGCGTGGCGGAAGGGCAGAGAGAGAGCAAGGGGGCTGAACCCCTCCAGCAGTGACAGCATTAGTCCCTCTGTGAGGGCAGAGCCCTCAGGCCCATCACCTCTTAAAGTTCTCCTCTTCATACTGTTACCTCGGTGAGGAAGTTTCAGCTGAGTTTGGGAGGGGCAGACATTTGAACCATAAAGCGCCAGGTCTCTGATTCCAGAGCCCATGAGGTCCAAAAGCTCACAGGAGCGGGGTGGCCTCTGTGCCACACTCCAGGAGCCCTAGCAAGGTGAGAGTCCACAGGAAAGTGAGCAGACTGGGAACTTTTCATGCCATCAGAAAGTACAAAGGCCTAGAGGGAGCTTCTGGAAAGACCAGCATGATCCAGGAGGGGGTAGGAGCGATGTGGGGTCGGGTGGGCTCCATGGGCTCACTGCGTGCTCGGCTTTCAGGAAAACAACATGATTGTGTATGTGGAAAAGAAAGTGCTAGAAGACCCTGCCATAGTCAGTGATGAAAACTTTGGACCAGTGAAGAAGAAATTCTGCACTTTCCGAGAAGGTGAGCCGTCGTTTGGCTCCGTCGGGGTTGGTCAGAAGTTCTGGCAGGGGGCTACCGTGTGACAGCTTTTTCTTGTTTTTGTTTTTATGTTTTCTAGATTATGATGACATTTCCAATCAGATAGACTTCATCATATGCCTGGGGGGGGACGGGACCCTGCTCTATGCTTCCTCGCTTTTCCAGGTGAAGCTCGGCGTCCTGGGATGGAGGGCGTTCCAGTCCGAGGTGCCGTGTGGGGAGGCACTCTCAGAGTGTGCCCCGCCTCTGTCCTCTCCGTCTTGTAGCTTTACGCCCTGGGGTGAGGAGATTTCCAGTGTTCTTACTCTGACGCAGGCTGAGCTGTTTTTCAGTCCAGCTCTTTAGCAATAGAGTGAGTGTGCAGACAGTGCCCTGCAGCGCGTCTGCGGCTGTCTGGCCCTCCACAGCTGTGGCAGCAGGAGTCTCTGTCCTCGCAGGGGGCCAACTGCGAGTGCAGTGCAGCAGGGCAGGGCAGGGCAGGGCAGGGCAGGGCAGGTGGGCGAGTGGCTGCAGGTGCACAGCGGGTCTCCTTGAGGGGTGCCAGCACCGCCGGGCTGGCTGGCAGGGAGCAAGGGCAGGCCAGCGGGCAGTGGGGACACACCACCAAGTCAGAGCTGGGGATGGCCAGGAGCCACTCAGGACAAGAGGAATGGGTGCAGGGCAGCGGTTCCCCTAGCAGAGCGGCCCTCACCCGCAGCCGGCCCCTGCGTGCCTCCCTCATCTCGCAGGCTGTTCCTGTCCTCCATGAGCAGCTGGCTGGCCGGTCCTGCTTTTGTGTCTTCTCGACGTTCCCCCACGTCCCGCTTCTCCCCACTGGCATGCCAACAGTGACCTGTGCTCACTCACACACATGCCCACCCCCCTCCAGGCAGCATCAGGGTCTGAGCCCTAGAGCTGAGCCCCACAGATAGGTCCCTTCCCCAAAGGGCTAGGCGGTGCCGCGGACAACTTGGGTGGCTGCTGAGTGGCCTCTCCCCGCGGGCTCACAGGGCAGTGTGCCTCCAGTCATGGCGTTCCACCTGGGCTCCCTGGGCTTCCTGACCCCATTCAACTTCGAGAACTTTCAGGACCAAGTCACTCAGGTGATCGAGGGTAAGTTGGAATGTCGTGGAGCCCTGAAGCCCTGAAGCCACTCTGAACATGGGACTGCCCTCCCCTGGGCTGTGGTTTTTGTGTTTTTTTGCTCTTTTTATTTAATGGTGCATAGAGTGACATTTAAAAGTTTCAAGATTCAGGGTGTTCTACATTTTGAATGGTTCAGCCATTTTTTATGGATGTTGAGAAGTTTCAGCAGGTCACAGGGTGAAGCCACCATGTGTGTTCAGTAGACATGAAGCCACAGAAATGTCACTCTTGACTTGGGGGTGGGTCTCTGCTTCCTCAGGGGTGGGGTCCCCAACCCCCACCGACCTCCCTGGGCTGCAGCCCCCTGACCCACACCGACTTCCCTGGGCTGTGCCCCCCTGACCCCCGCTGCCCCCAGGGAACGCAGCTGTTGTCCTCCGGAGCCGGCTGAAGGTCCGAGTGGTGAAGGAACTCCGGGGCAGGAAGACGACCGTCCACAACGGGCTGGGCGAGAGCAGCGTGCCGGCTCCTGGCCTGCACGCGGAAGTCGGGAAGCGGGCCGTGCAGTACCAGGTCTGCAGACACATCCCGGCGAGGGGGCCTGGGGTGGGAGGAACCTGGGGCTGGACCCCGTGGAGGAGCTCGCACCCTGTCCTCAGGACGAGGACCTTCCAGGAGCCCAGGGCAGACACAGGTGCCGGCGCTTGTGCTGCCCTCTGAGCACGCAGGGCCTTGCCGTCCCCTCCAGGTCTTGAACGAGGTGGTGATCGACAGAGGCCCCTCCTCCTACCTGTCCAACGTGGATGTCTACCTGGACGGACACCTCATCACCACGGTGCAGGGTGACGGTAAGGCCCAAGTTACCGTCATAGGGCCCTGAGCGTCCTGCAGGGCGGAGAGTGACACCTGCCCCTGTCCCCGTCAGGAGTGATCGTGTCCACCCCGACGGGCAGCACAGCATATGCAGCCGCAGCTGGGGCCTCGATGATCCACCCCAACGTGCCGGCCATCATGATCACGCCCATCTGCCCCCACTCGCTGTCATTCCGGCCTATCGTGGTCCCCGCAGGGGTTGAGCTGAAGGTCAGAGCCAGCGCCCTCTGCCTTTTCCCGTTTGTGAGCTGTTCGACCTCATGCCAAGGACTAGGAGCCATGGGACCTGGTGCCCTGGCCCTGCGGTGCTGGCCTTGGATCGGAAGGGGCTTCGCACCCATTGTTTGTGGCTGGCAGTGCTGAGAGCGGGCCGGCCCCTCACAGTCTCTCTCGGCCTCCTGGGGTGGGGACATTGCACGTCCGGCAACCCCAGGTGAGGAAAGACCCATACCCGGGCAGCCCTCAGGGTCTCTGTCCTGGAGTCTGGCCGACTTCCTCGTCATCACCCTAACCTCTGTTCATTTCCTGCCCTGGAGCCCCTGCAGGCCACCCCAAGCCAGTGTGCCCCTGGCCGTGCACTCTGGTGGGCGGGCCACGTCTGCCAGACGTGGTGAGAGCTCTCCCTGGCACCAAAGCTGGCTCTGTACTGGCTGGCGCTGGGGCCTCCGGCGAGCACCCAGGGGTGGGGGCCCCAGGAGTGCATTCCCCCCACAGCCCAGGGCCCACACCTGTCTCTGCTTGATCCCTGCAGATCATGCTGTCACCAGAAGCAAGGAACACTGCCTGGGTGTCTTTTGACGGACGAAAGAGACAGGAGATCCGCCATGGAGACAGGTGTGGGGCCATGGCTGCTCTGGGTACTGCCTGCTGACCTGGTCCCGTGGTGGGTTGTGCCTGCTCACTCCTGGCAGCCTGTAGGCAAAGTACTGCCACCTGGAACAGCAGAGGGCCGGGGGCCTGAGCCTTGTTCCCTGGGCTTTGCATTGTCACAGGAGGAGGGACTGTGCCTGGATGCAGGACTGGCCCCAACTGAGGCCAGGGTACGTCACCTCAAGCACTGAGCTCTGACGGCTGCCTGCGACCCACTGCACATGAGGGCAATGGATCCTTATCCCTCACCCCTGCCCATCCCTGATATAGGCTCATCCAGGATGGCCCAGGCCTGGGGGTGCTGTCCAGCAGCAGGAGTGTAGTGTCCCAGGTCCTAGGGTAGGCTGAAGGGAGCTCATGGCTCTGTCCCAGCATCCTCTGAGTGCCCACCTGGTGCCTGCCTCAGGTAGAGGCTGCCCAGCCCCTGGAGGAATCAGAAACCTGGGGCCAGGCCACCCTGGGGCAGGTAGGTCAGGCGCGGCTCGGGCCAGCTCTGGCAGGTGCCGCGGCTCAGCTGCTCGGGGCTCACGCGAGCTGTGCTGCTTTCTCCCTCTCCCCAGCATCAGCATCACTACCTCCTGCTACCCGGTGCCCTCCATCTGTGTCCAAGACCCTGTGAGTGACTGGTTCGAGAGCCTGGCCCAGTGTCTGCACTGGAACGTGCGGAAGAAGCAAGCCCACTTCCCGGACGAGGACGGCGAGGATGGCTAGCTGCGCTGCTGTGCAGGCTCAGCACCAGGGCCCAGGGTCCCTCCCATGCGCCCTCTTGGGACAGGCCACCCGTGCTGCTGTAAGGGTCGTGAGCACCTGCGGGCCTTCGGCCTCACGTCGCTTCTGTCGCTTCGGTCACAGCCGGGAAGAGCCTGGTCTCCCTTTGTCGACCAGATCAGCTGTTTTTTAACATTTTAAATCTGACTCTTTTTTTGCATTTCTAAAGAAGCAAAGTGGGGAATGGGCTGGGGTCTCCACCTGGATACGCGCACGCGGTCCCTGTCCAGGGGCACGGGCTCTTTGTAATTCCAAGTCAGGAAACTTTTCTATAAATCAGTCTGCTGAAATTCAGAGGGGGCCAGAGTGATTGATCTGCCCTTTGATGTGGAAAATAAATGTTTCAGCCAAACACCTTCCTTTAGCGTGGGTGCTTCTCCCCTAAAGCTCCTTGCAGGAAACCGTCAGGCAGGGGCTCAGTGAAGGGAGCAAGTTGCAGGTGACTGGCAGGCAGGTTTGGAGAAGGCTGGGTGCATGTCTCCCGTCCCTGCGCTGACTCTGGCTGGACCAGTCCCGGTTCCCAACCCTCTGGTTCTCTCTCTGACACCGCGTGGCCCCTGCGAGCATGGCGGTGGCCATGCCGGGAGGGCAGGGAGGTCTCGCGGTGTTCCCACACACTGCCCGTGTGCCAGGGTGCTGGCACCAGCTCCTGAGAGGATATTTCAAATCCTGTGTGTCTTTTTAGAGACCTTTTAGACTTTCTGAAGTGCCGTGTACATATATTCTTGTACGCACTTTTCTGGAGATTTGGAAGGGAGAGAGCCTGTCTTGCCAGGCGGTGTTTATTCTGTGTCATGTGTGGCGCTGTGCTTGGGCAGCTGCCAGTCGAGCAAGGTGCTCTCAGGTTGAGGGTCCAGGAGAGAGATCAGTGTTTCAGGGGTTAGGAAGCCCTTTTATTTTGCAATTGTCATGAGAATTTTGAGACAGATTAGCAAGTGAGGGCAACATGGAGGGACTGAACTTATCGGTTCTGCTCCTGCTCCCTCGAGTCTCAGGCTCGCAAGGAAACCAGCGGTCGCTGGGAGCATGTGTGAGAGCGTGCACACACATGTACACACATGTGCACACAGTGAGTGCTCAGGCAGTGTGTGTCTGCCACGTGGGACCTGCAGTCTGTGTGGTCCTGCTCAGAGCTGTGGCTCAGCCGGCTCCACAGGAGGCATCTCCTGGGTGTCACCCAAGGGCTGTCCACAATACAGCATCTTTAGAGCAGCCGCTCTGAGTTTTGCTCAAGAAGTTAACAGGGAGGGTGGGAGCCCACCCGGCCTTGGACCCACCTCTGCAGGCGAGCAGGCGCACGTGGTTCTTCATGCCAGCTGGGGCCTCCAGGGCTTGCCCTCAGCCTGGGGTCTTTGGCTTGTGTGTGTTTATAACGTGCAGGTCTTGCCCCCGACCCCCAACGTGCTCTTGTCCAGGCACCTCAGCACCCATCACCTTGAGCTTCCAGAACCCTGACTGTGAGCTGGGCAGCAGGCTTGGCTGCAAGGCCCAGGGTCTTCCTGCATCTGCTGCGGCCCAGAGTGCGGTAGAGCCCAGCCGGCCTCCCGTGGGCGAAGGAGAGAGAGGAACCGACACCCCTGCTCCGACTCCAGAAGGCAGTGGTATTTGGAATTCTGGTCACTCATCTAAACAAAAAGGCAGGTCCTAAAGCAGCATGATGTAGGAATGATCTAGAAAACTTTGGATTTTTGAAATAAATTCTTAATGTTTCATATTGTTAATACCTTGAAATTTTGTTAAATGTTGTCAAAGCTTTATTACTATTTTCAGATCCTTTCATTAAATAGACTTGTGAAGAAAGTTGGGTTGAGTGATGGTTTCTTCTGGCTCCTTGTGACCAGCATAGAAGCTCAGGGAACCAGGCTGCAGCCACCGGGGTTCGCCGCCTCCCTCAGCGGATGGGGCCAAAGCAGATCTGGCCAGCTCGGACTTGCGCCGTCAGCCCTGCTGATGGTCCCAGCAGCTGTCCTCACCAAGGGGCATCGCATGGCAGCTTGGGGTGGGAGCTGGGGGTGCAGCCACCTCTTCTGCCAGAAGATGGGGTTGGGGCCAAGCCACACAGAAAGGACAAAACTGTGAATACCAAGGGTTGGGGCTGCAGGACGTGTCCTCAGTGCCAGTGGGCTGTTGCCCCTGGGACGGGGCACTGAGACCAGAAGGGAATCGAGTCCCTGCATCCCCACTGTCCATCTAGGCTGTTTGGGTTAGGGGGAGGCCACAGGCCAGGCAAGTCACCGCTGGCCCCTGGCTGCCGGGCCCTGGGTCCTGTGGGTCTCACGCACCAGCCTCCCTGCCCCTCCGCCCCTCAGCACCTGCAGCTTCCCACAGCCTGGTCTGTGTCATCCGCACCAGGCCCACATGAGTGCACAGTGAAGTTTAGCCACGGATCGTGTGCTCCTGTGTGCACAACCAGAACACACACAAGTGACCACCCATGGGCGCCTGCTTTTTGGACAGTCGTGACCCTGCCTGGGCCCTCGTCAGACTGTTGGCCTCCCCTGTCCACCCTCACTTGTGAGGAAGAGCACGTGCGTGGGGCTCCTCCGTGGCAGATCCCCCATGTTGTACAGCACATGGAGGGTCCTGTCAACTCCCCACCAGGGTGGCTCAGTGGCCGCGCTGCATCTGCTTCCTCTGCCATGGAGCTTGGCAGCCTGCTGCCTGCTAGAAGCATCTGTCTGCATTGGTGGCCGGTGAGGATCACCCTGCCATGCACTGGTGTTGGTGCGCAGGTCCATGTGACACTCTGGCTGCAGCAGCGGCCTGGCTGTGGGATGTGCCCAGGCATCCAGGGATGCGTGTGCGAGGGGAAGCTGCCCCACGCTGAGGTGCCTACACCCCTAGGGCCCGGAGACCCTGTGTGCGGACCCTGGCCAGGCCTCAAGATCCCAGGGAGCACACAGGCACACCTCACCCAGGGTCCTGCAGCCCAAGGGTTGGGTCAGACCAGCCAGCCAGAGGGGTGCACCGCACAGGGTCATCTGCCAGCCTTCCTGGCCTTGGGGGAGCACAGGAGTCAGGGGACATAGGCCAGAGGCCCCCCAGCCCACGGGAAGCTGCTGGTGGACTCAGTTTGTGGAGCTTTCTGTCTTCAGGGCAGCAACCTTGGAAACCTCTGGCTTGAAGCAGCAGTGGCCAGTGTCTGAGCAGCACCTAGCACCAGACCGTCCCCCAGCGCCTCCATGCTGGACCCCCAGGCGGGCAGCCAACCCTGCCCCACCCAGCCCAGAGCTGTCCCTTCTCTCAGGCCAGGCCCTCAGGCCCCACCAGAGTGCGGCTCCTGCCCAGCTGAGCCAGGCCCATCTCCAGAGCTTGGACCTTCAGAGTCTGAAAACAGAATTTGGTGAGAAGCATCAAGGCAGGGGGTAAACTGAGGCCACAGCAGAGGGATGGCACTTTCAGGTGGGCACTATCTTCAGCAACCTCTACCGCCAGGGTGTCAGTCACCTTAAGGGAGAGCCAGAGCAAGCGGGCACCAGTGCAGTGAGTGGACAACAGTGCACAGGATGGCCCCCACCTGCTGGAGCAGGACGGGCAGGCGTGACCACAGCAGGAAGACACAGGCTCTGGGATGACCTGTCCCCGGTCTTCACCCCTGGCCAGCCGCCTCATTCCCCGCTGAGAAGTCCCCAGAACCACAGTCCAGTTCCCCCGCTGGCCTGTGCCGAGCTGCCAAGAGACCAGACACTCAGACACAAACAAACCCACAGAGACACACACACACACACACACACGGACCCATGATGGCACATCTGGCCCTGAGGGCTCTGACACACACACACACACACACACATGGACCCATGATGGCACATCTGGCCCTGAGGGCTCTGACACACACACACACACACACACATGGACCCATGATGGCACATCTGGCCCTGAGGGCTCTGACACACACACACACACACACACATGGACCCATGATGGCACATCTGGCCCTGAGGGCTCTGACACACACACACACACACACACATGGACCCATGATGGCACATCTGGCCCTGAGGGCTCTGACACACACACACACACACACACATGGACCCATGATGGCACATCTGGCCCTGAGGGCTCTGACACACACACACACACACACACATGGACCCATGATGGCACATCTGGCCCTGAGGGCTCTGACACACACACACACACACACACATGGACCCATGATGGCACATCTGGCCCTGAGGGCTCTGACACACACACACACACACACACACACACCCAGGATGGCACATCTGGCCCTGAGGGTGGGAGGGCTCTGCAGGCTGGGGCCGGCCCCGAGTGCCCTGGGGCTGGAGACTCCCTCTGCTTCAGTTTCCCACCTGCTGATGACAACAAATCACAGAGGCATTGGTGGCTGCTGTTCCCCTACTGTTGGGTGGGTGGGGCTGAAGGGCCTGCAGGCTCGGGCCCCGGATATGACATGGGTTCAGCCTCGTGGGGGCAGTCAGCAAGGATAGTGGCCAGAATGCCAGGGGCTGGACTGCCCTTTTCCCTGAAAGCCTGGACACCCATGATGGGGCAGGCCTCACGCACAGCACCCAAGGGGGAGACAGAACGACACAGAACGAGGGGACTGGACTTGGTGGGGCTTCTCCTCGGCCCACCGAGGGGCTTCAGGTGAATCAGCACTTCCTGGCGTCTCTGCCACCACCGGACCGTGATCCAGACCCCACACTCTGGGGCCCCATCCACTGCTCCCTGCTGTCCTCGCTGTCCTTCAGGGAATCTCAGCTCCTCTGGGCTCACAGGTCTCACCCTCCCTGCCTGGCTGGAGCCTGGACCCAAGTTGGAGAGACCAGGGCGAGGGCCTGACAGAGAGGAGCCCACAGGTCTGGGGGATGGAGGAAGGCAACCAGGCAGAATCAGCCATTAGCCAGTCCCTTCCCCCTTCTGGAAGGTCACCCAGACCCTGGAGGAGAGAGAGCTTGTTGTGGAGGCCATGGCCGCCTCCCCCTCAGCAGACGCCAGGGTCAGACAGGGTGGTGGGGCTGGGCGCGGGGCTCTGCCCAGGCTTCGTCTGGGGGGAGGGGGAAGGTCCTGCAGACCCAGCGTGAGTCTGGGGGGGGCTTGATGGAACCTGTAGCCGACACTGAGGACTTCACAAGGACTGTTTCCTGCAGAGGATTCATACAGCAAATGTACCTCACAGGGCCTGGTTTCCCAAAGCCTTGCAGTATCAAATATTGACCTTGCGGAGGACCGGAAATTTTCCTCAGGCTATAAAGTCTCTGGTGTAAGATAAAGATTTGTGGCACAGCAGGTTGCTGGCTCAAGGACAGACTAGTTACTGATTGTCACATAAAGATACTGAGAAATTGCTGTAGGAAGGAATGTTTGCTGAGATCAAGCTTTTGTTGGTGGATCACTTAATTGCCTTAAATGCCATCTGGCTTGTTTCACTGAAAATTACCAGCCTATATTGTTAAACTATAACCCCACCTACGTCTCTTCCTGTAACTTCCTGGGCTGGAGAATACATGCAGGAAGACAACCCCAATTTGGCGTTAATTTCCCAAATGGAAAGAATGCCTCTGGCTGGAGAGTTCTGGGTGAGACTGACCACTTCAGGGTCTCTCACTGCTCAGGAGAGATGGGCTTTGAGTAAAGCTCTGTCACCCAGGGGAAGTGGGGTGACAAATCTGTGGGGGGCAAAGCAAAAGTTTCCCAACCCTCTCTTCTGCATCACGCACAACAGTCTTTAGACGCATCATAAACAAAAATAAAAGGCCAAGTGCACAACCAGAAAACATATGTGGTAATATGAAAGGTTAATGTTCTTAATATAAAAAAGCACAAACAATTCACACAAAACACTAATAGAAAAATACTAAAAAAGAGAAACCATGGTTCAAGGAAGAATACACATAGCTAATAAATAAATGAGTGGCCAAACTCACGTGTAATCAAAGAAATGTTAAATAAATAACACTAAGCCCCCCAAATTAGCAAAGAGGCTTATAGTCAAACATTCAAAGCCAATGAGGGTCTGGAGATTGTGGCCAGATTATACTTTCACCCCAAAGTTCTACTTCTTGGAATCCAACCAAAGGAAGAAGTCGACACTCCAGCAAGTGCGGATAAACACACACAGACCCATCCTTGTGGCATCGCTCATGACTGACAAGCAGACATAGCACAACGGTATTTTCTAAGGATGTTTAGAGACAAGATTTGTTGGCCTGGCCGGGAGAAAGGGTCGGGATGCAAACCTGCAGCTGCCGGCCGGGCTCGGCGCCTCGTGGGCGGCTTCATCCCGGGGCACAGGCGGGAAGGTGCCAGGCTTCACTGACATCATTTCAAAATCATCGGAGTGCACCATAAGGCTTTGCCATAGAGATTTCGAGAGTATTTTATTTGGCTACAACCAACTTGCTGACCCCAAACAGCCAGGACTGACGGTCCGTCATCAGACAGCCCAGGCTTTCATGCTATGTAGGAAAACCCACCCCAGAAACTGTCCGGAGGTTTAGGGAGGCTCCGCGGACGCCGAATTCAGGCTCAGACGCGGACGGCGCCCTATTACGCTCTGAGGTTCCTACTGCGGTAAACAATTGCGCTTCTGCTTCTCTCTTTTTGTATTTCCCATTTTTAGGACCCAAACCCTACCCAGCTCCCAGGGGCCTCGCTACCGTCCACCAGCTCCCACCTCCTGCGGGGACAATCCCACCCGAAAGGCGTCTCTGGAGACAGTCGGGGCAGCTCTCCAGCCCCACCCGCGGGCGCCCGAGGGAATCACAGGAAGGACTGAATCGTCGTTTTAATTAATTAATCAAAATGTCATTAACACAGGGCCGGCCCGT